TTATGGGCCTGAAATAGTATTTCTCATTTCAGTGAAGTTTTTAGATTACTCAAATTGCAGCAAAGGAACATTAGAGAGATGCATTTCTCAGTGGTGGGAAGCTCGTGTCTACCCTGACAACTACGTACATCTCAAAAATGAGAAATGTAGCCCAGGTTAAAGGCAGTCGGATGGTGAGGAAATAGTGTAAGCAGAAGAGCTCAGGCCTACCTAAAGGGAATAGCTATTTTTTGAACACATGGAGTTGGGGGACAGTGTTACTAGATCTTCTAACTTCATAAGCAAAACTAGGAATCTGGATTTTCAAGTAAAATCTTCTGGCTTTAAAGTTGGTTTTAAAAATATTTTGGGGCTGGACATGGTGGCTCACACCTGTAATCCCAATACTTTGGGAGGCTGAAACAGGTGGATCGTTTGAGCCCAAGGATGTGAAACTAGCCTGCAAAACATAGTGAGACCCTATATCTACAAAAAAACAAAAATTACAAAAATTATCCAGGCATGGTGGTGCCCACCTGTGGTCCCGGCTACCCAGGAGGCTGAGGTGGGAGGATCACTTGAGCCTGGCGGATTGAAGCTGCAGTGTACCATGTTTGAGCCATTGCACTCCAGCCTGGGGACAGAAAAAGACCCTGCCTCAAAAAAAAAAAAAAAAAGTATATATATATATACACCCACACACAAATACACACACATAAAATCACCACACACACACACACACACATTTTGTGGCAAAACAGAAAGGACAAGTCTATATGTTAAATATGCCCTATAAACCACCACTTTGTGACCTCTGAGAACAGTGTTATCATTTGGACCAAAGAGAAGCTAGTAAGGTATACCACAACAGGATATTTTATTTACTAAGGTGTATTCCTTTCCTAAGGATAACATGAAAAATGACTACAAATTTGGTTCTTTAAAACAACAGAAATGTATTATCTTATGGTTCTGGGGGCCAGAAATCCAAAGTCAAAGTTTCAACTGGGGCCACCACCCTCTGAAGATTCTAGGCGGAGTAGCGTTTCCTGGTTCCAAGCATTCCTGGGCTTGTGGCTGCAATACTCCATCTGTGTTCATCTTCACATCTCCTTCTCACATTCTGTGTGTCTCTCTTCTGTATGTATCTTATAAGGATTCTTGTCATTGGATTTACAGCCCTCATGAATAATCCAGGATCATCCCATCAAGAAATCCCTAAATTAATTTTATTTGTGATGTAACTTATTGCTATACAATATTAATATATTTTCCAAATAATGTCATATTCACAAGTCTGGGGGGTTAGGACATGGACTTTTTTTAAGAGCCAAATTTAAATCACTGCCACAGGTTATGTTATAGAAATATATAAGGGCATGAAACAACTATGTAGGGTTTAAAAATAGTTATAACGTTACCACCCAGTCAAGAATACTAGCAGAATGATAGATGCCCCAGCACTGTTTCTGTCCACCATATGTCTGTCTCCTCTCTTGTACCTCCAGAAATAATCTATTTTTTTTAGAATATCCTACTTTTACTGTAATAGTTTCAATGTTTCTCTTTGTAGTTGAACCACATATGACTGCCTCATTAAACAATGTAGCTTATTTTTGCCCAATTTTGAACTTTATGTGACATAAATGATACTGAATGCATTCTTTCGTTCCTGGTTTGTACATTTGTTATGAGATTCATACGTGTTTTTGTGAACAGCACTTTTTTTCCTGTGTATTTCATAGGCATTTGGGTTGTTTCGGATTTAGTTATTACAGATATTACCACGCTACACATTCTTGAATGTATATTGTGGTGCATGTGTGTGAACTTTCTAGTGCATGTACCTAGCAGTAGAATGGCTGGTCTTTAAGAATGCATATTAATAATGTTAATAGATAATGCTGACCTATTTTTCAAAATTTTTATAGTTATTTGCACTCTCAGCAACAGGGAATTCCCTGTTTCTCACCCTAATCAATGCCTCTTTCTTCTCTCTTCTCTCCCCTCCTCTCCCCTTCCCTCCCTTTCCCTACATCACCTCTTTTCCTTTTCTTTTTCTCCCTCTCTCTCCCCCGTTGTCATTTCCTTTTGTTCTTTTTATTAATTGCTTCATTCACTGATTCTATTAGTGTCATATGCCTATGATGTGGTAGAAGCTTTATTTTTCTGAATCATTGGGCCATTCTTCCTAAGAAGAAAGCAGACTTTCTGTTTATAGGCTGGTAAAATGAAGCCTTGGGTACCCCCTGGCACCTACGCTAACAGGGGTGTTCTAATCTCCAACACATGAATAGTGTTGAGAAGGCAGCCGTCAGGACTCCTGGTCACTTTCTGATGTCACAGGAAGCGCCATCAGTATCTCTCAGCTCCCATTATCCTGGCAGAGCAGGCAACTGGGTCCTCTGACCCCCTCTTGACATTCTGATAGGCTTCCCTTCATACCACACACTTGCAAGAGCTTTTTCTCTCTCTCACCTGGAAAGGTCACTTACCAAACACGATGCCTGGGATAAATGATGTTTTGATTGTTTTGTACTCTCTTGTCTCAACCACCAATTTCAAGGGTTGTTTGAGGGCAGCAACCCAGTTAAAAGAGGAAAGAACCAGACTGGTATGGTCCTAACACCAGCTAAAATCCATTTCATTTTCTCTATGTTGTTCTAAGTTTACTTTCAAGATTACAGGAATATTGCTCAACATGTAACCGATGGGGCATTTGCTTCAGAGGCACCTGGAGATTAATTTTTGAAATTAAATTTATCTGTCTAATAAAAGGAACAATTTCATAATAAAAATACCATCTGCCCTGCATAAAAGAATGATCTCCTTTTACATGACTCTGATTCTCTTTCCAGTGACCTAAAACTCTGGTCTTGGTGCCTTGGTTTATATTTAAATACTCTGACAATTTAATAGTAATGGGATATGTGTTCAGATTACTTTTCTTCTTGGCTCTAGTAGAAAGTTTGGAAGAAAATATCAATTCACTATGACACACACACACACACACACATATATAATAATATTAATAGAGTCATTCTAATTTTTGCTTCTACCCCTGACATTCCCTCTGCTCCACCTTGGTAACTGTATATCTTGTATTGGACAGTCTATTCCTCAAACAAGATAGGTAGAATCTTTAGGTTGCAGGAACTGTAATGACAGACCAAGAGTGATGGCTTGGTGACTTCAGCCAGAGGGAAAACTTTAAACCATTCTGTATCAGAAGCTCCATAGCCATTAGTAAAGAAAAGCTATAGTGTATGCCTAACCCAGAGAGCTGCCAAGTATATTCCAAGGCATTGTAAATACATGGCTACAACAAGATCTCTCTTAAAACTTAAGTCTCTCGTGGACAATTTTATTCTTTGTGAGCAAAATTGAATAGAAGCAAACTTCAAGACTTAATTTATGTTTTTCCCTAGCTAGAAGAATAAACAGACTCTTAGATCCTGAAAGAATCTGACTCAGCTAAGAAGAGGCAAGTCAGCAAGAAGTAACTAAATGGAATAATATCCATTTGACCTCTGCTTCTGCTGCTTTGAATTGTCTGAGAGGAGCTTCATTTTTTGAAAGTGGCTTTGGCTCAGGACTGTCAGACTGTGTAGTGGGTTTTGCCGTTTTGATTGACTTATCCATTCCAATAGCTGAACACATGATTGTTTTTGCTCTTCTACCTGTCGAACCACCCAGTTGCCCTATGGAATCAATAGCTGATACAGTAAGTTGGTGATGGGGCATCTAGTAGAGAAAGAGAGGAAGTGGCTTGGTAAGTGGGCCATGGAAGAGCTTCATAGCAGTAGTTGTTGACCATTGGTGGCTAAGAGAATTTGCGGGGGAACTTGAAAAAAAAAAATAACAAGACTCAGATACTGCCTACCTCAATGAGCTGGACTCTGTATTCTTTATCAGCTCTCCAAATGATTGCAATGCCCACCAAAATGTGAGACTCACTGCCCCATAGCATGGGTGTCAGAAACCAGGGTCTGGAATTAGGCAGATGTGGGTCCAAATTCTTCTCTAAGCCTTCATTTTAAACTTTAGAGTATGGATCTGAGACTACCACTTCCTTTGGCTGATGTGACATTTTATGAGAAAATGTACATAAAATACTTCTTATTTTTGTAATTGTAATTATTCCTTTTTTATGGCCTTACAGGTAAGGGAAAACTTTGAATAATTTAAGTGTTCTGAAAGTAGGTCCATTTTTTTCCCTATGGTTCTTGATCATAGAACTCAACTTTGTAAGTTTCCAAAGTTTTTCCATGGCCACAAACAAGATGCTGTGGGGGAAGGAGATGGTGTAGTCTTCATTGCTGCTAGTGGATTGAAGGAAAATCAGATAGGTTAAGTGTGTACCCGCTCATGGGTCCATGACTGAGTGAGATTCATAGATTTGGGATTTGAGCCTAGGGACACTGAATCCAATCTCTTTTTCCACTATGACTCTTGCAAGATCTTGTGACCTCATACGAATATTTAAAGTCACACTGTCCTAAAGAGGAAGCTAGAGAGTTCCCTGGCCTCCTCATTCCTGTTTATCTGGATACTCTTTATACATTGGATTGAGATTTATATTGGAGTCAGTTCACCTACAACCTCTTCAAAAACTTTTCCTTCTAATTTGACTAGAAAGTCAATTACATAATGGGATATTGCTAAGTGAAAGGAGGTTCTTAAAATAATATTCATGGATCAGGAGCTAACACGATTAGGGATGCAGAATGTGGCATAATGGTTGACTTTAGGCATGTTACTATTTCTTATAACTCTCTGTTTTCTCACCTACAAATGGAAATTATGCTAGTAACTACCTACCTGTCAGGTTGAACTAGGAATTTAGTCATAGATTAATGCAATTAGAATATTTTTCCTCCTTCTGTTATTTTTTTTTATTTGGTTGGCACACAAGAGGATCCAGTTCACTAAAACAAAGAGAAAAAGTCACTTTTATTTTTATTTCTGAATGTGCCAGCAGTGCCCTGCAAGCACTGACCTTTTCATTTAACTCTGTTTAGGGTTTGATGCCTACTTTACATCCCGTACACTTGAAAATAACAGAAGAAATGTATGGTTTGCTGAATACTGGGAGGAAAACTTCAACTGCAAGTTGACGATTAGTGGGTCAAAAAAAGAAGACACAGATCGCAAATGCACAGGTAATTTAATTCTCATTGTCCTTCTCCTATTACTCTACGTGGCTAGCCCCGAAATGTCTGCATAGCTGACAGAAGGAAGCTTGGCTGGAGACAAATTGAAAAAGTAAATTAAATTTTACTAGACTGTTCAGAAAATGGAACAGGAGCATACGTCTTGCAGGACAAAAGATGTACAGACAAGAATGTATTCTTTTCTGCCTGTCTATCTAGCAGTAATTGACATTTTCAGTGATTCCTTGAATTCAGAAGGGGTCATGTTGCTTTGAATTCTCTTGTTCAGTTTCAGCCAGGGGTATGAAGTAATTTTCACATAGACAAAAATCTCTGACAAATCCCATACCATTGCCAGATTTAACTGTTACCATGGACAGTATACTTGATTAAGGAAACAGAGTGATTGGGTTTAGAATAATGAAAATCCCAAATGATTTTCATTAATGTCTAAGTTAATGAGTTACCCACTGTTTAAAATATTCACAGCTCCTTATATATAACCTTGCAAATGAAAAATATCTGTGAATAAGTCAGAGGAAAAATCACACATTCATTTGTTTATTCACTCACTAATATTTACTGAGTGACTCCTTTCTGCTATGCACTGTGCTAGGCACTGGGGATCCGGTGGTGAGCAAACTAAGTGAGAATCCTCCTTCTATGTCGTCCAGAGTCTGGTGGAAGGAATTTGACTTTATTCAGTGATCTCGCGAACGAATTCTTAATTACAAACTGCAATCCATGTTCTGAGTGTTATGAGGGCCTGTACCTAAGTAAGTTTACTCATGTTGAAGGTAGAAGCTGTCTCAAAAGACCCTTTTGAGAGAATGATGCTTGAGTCAAGATAAAATGAAGTAATGGACATTGGCTGGTTAGGGAAGGAAAATAAGTTGGAGAATTCTGATTAAACATGGCAAATGGCTTGCAGTAGGAGGAATTTTTGTGTTTCTGAGGATGTGAAAAACAGAAAAAAACATGACTGAAGTACATGGAACAGAGAGAATGTGTGAGCCAAGGCTGCAGGTATAGAGAGATGGTCCAGAACTAAGTCATTTTAGGATGTATGTGGGACTTGACTTTTATCCTTAGAGCAGTGGTAACCATGGAAGGGTGTTACACAAGGGTATGACATGATCTACTGTCTTATCAACTAGACCTCTTTAAATAGCAGCTTTTACAATTCGTAATGATGACCTTCAAGTATAATAAGGTAATAAGGCTAAAATATCTTATGCATGATCAAGAAGGACACATTCATGTGGGACACAGTTCTGTCTCTAGTCTGTCTTTATAACATAGCTGTTTGAATACCGGTCACCCACATGTTCTAGATTAATCCACTCAACAAGCATCTATTAATCATGTAATACATAGTATCAGGAACATCATGAAGTCTTTGAGGGTGCTTAAATGTAGTCGCAAGGAGTTTTCTGTGAAAAAGGAGAAATGAACAAGATATGACCAGAAACATGAATAAAAATAACACTATAAAATCGATATGATGCATATATTAAAGGCATCATTCAGTCAACTGGAATATCAGATTAACCATGTTCTCCAGATCATGCTGTATAACAATAATCCAGAAATATGGTCCCTAGAATAGTGGGGGAAAAGGGAAAATATTAATTTAATATTGACTCGACCTAGGCAACACAAAGCTTTCAAGTGGAAACTGAAAAAATTAGCTTGACATCTGGGTAATTTATCTATATGACAGGGTACATTCAAGTGCACCAGAAGTATGCAGATGATTGATGAAAGTTTTCCCGGGTTCTTTCTGATGTTTGATGTTCTGTAGAGTGTCTGGAAGGTGGAATCGATTGATGGACGTTAGGATTGTCCCAATCTGAGGCCATACCTCTGACTTTTATGAGCTTAAACACAGGCTGTTTTATCTGGAGCCATGCTTCAGGCTGATCATTCAGAATCTGGGTTTATACAAACTAGTAAGGTCATTATGCAAGCCTCTACCTTACAAAAATGGAAATAGAAGTGTTTGTGTCTTCCTAACTAACATGCTTCTTCCATGTGAATATTTGTAATCACATTCACTAAATTATCAGTGTACCCAAATTATTTGTATATTCTCACCTTCCTTTTTCCTTCCTCGTCACTTTTCTTTGTGATGAGCTGTACCATACGGAACACAGGTAGATATTGTTACCATTATCATATCTGTTACTCTTCCACCTATTGATATGGTGGTCATATTTTGTTTGTTTTTCTTGTCCTTCCTTTTTCCAAATCCAACCATACGTACATCTTTCTTTGATAGTATTCCAAAAAATACTATTTAAAAAATCTTTACATTTAAGTATTCTTCAATTTGGAAGTGAAGAATCAGTGGGAAAGGTAACCTGGTTACATGCTTTGGTAACTAGATTTTAAAACACTAGGACAGGCATGTTACAAAGGGCACCCAGATGAGCAGAATGTCTGAGTAGTCTGGCACTGAAGATCTGCGCTGTGAATACAATGAGTGTTTTTATCTGAGGACTGTAGAACATAGCCCCCTTCACAGAGCTCTCTCTGTGACTTGGCTCTGCTAAGGAAAAAGGAAGTCTTATTCATATAACATTCACTCTTAAGATGTGAGCAGGGGGCGGAGCAAGATGGCCGAATAGGAACAGCTCCAGTCTCCAAATCCCAGCGCCAGCCACACAGAAGACCGGTGATTTCTGCATTTTCAACTGAGGTACTGGGTTCATCTCACTGGGGAGGGCCAGACGATCGGTGCTGGTCAGCTGCTGCAGCCCAACCAGCTAGAGCTGAAGCAGGGCGAGGCATTGCCTCACCTGGGAAGCGCAAGGGGGAAGGGAATCCCTTTTCCTAGCCAGGGGAACTGAGACACACAACACCTGGAAAATCGGGTAATTCCCACCCCAATACTGCGCTTTAAGAAAACAGGCACACCAGGAGATCATATCCCACACCTGGCCAGGAGGGTCCCACACCCACGGAGCCTCCCTCATTGCTAGCACAGCAGTCTGTGATCTACCAGCAAGGCAGCAGCGAGGCTGGGGGAGGGGCGCCCACCATTGCTGAGGCTTAAGTAGGTAAACAAAGCTGCTGGGAAGCTCCAACTGGGTGGAGCTCACAGCAGCTCAAGGAAACCTGCCTGTCTCTGTAGACTCCACCTCTGGGGACAGGGCAATAACAAACACAGCCGAAACCTCTGCAGACGCAAACGACTCTGTCTGACAGCTTTGAAGAGAGCAGTGGATCTCCCAACACGGAGGTTGAGATCGGAGAAGGGACAGACTCCCTGCTCAAGTGGGTCCCTGACCCCTGAGTAGCCTAACTGGGAGACATCCCCCACTAGGGGCAGTCTGACACCCCACACCTCACAGGGTGGAGTACACCCCTGAGAGGAAGCTTCCAAAGCAAGAATCAGACAGGTACACTCGCTGTTCAGCAATATTCTATCTTCTGCAGCCTCTGCTGCGGATACCCAGGCAAACAGGGTCTGGAGTGGACCTCAAGCAATCTCCAACAGACCTACAGCTGAGGGTCCTGACTGTTAGAAGGAAAACTATCAAGCAGGAAGGACACCTACACCAAAACCCCATCAGTACATCACCATCATCAAAGACCAGAGGCAGATAAAACCACAAAGATGGGGAAAAAGCAGGGCAGAAAAGCTGGAAATTCCAAAATAAGAGCGCATCTCCCCCGGCAAAGGAGCGCAGCTCATCGCCAGCAACGGATCAAAGCTGGACGGAGAATGACTTTGACGAGATGAGAGAAGAAGGCTTCAGTCCATCAAATTTCTCAGAGCTAAAGGAGGAATTACGTACCCAGCGCAAAGAAACTAAAAATCTTGAAAAAAAAGTGGAAGAATTGATGGCTAGAGTAATTAATGCAGAGAAGGTCATAAACGAAACGAAAGAGATGAAAACCATGACACGAGAAATACGTGACAAATGCACAAGCTTCAGTAACCGACTCGATCAACTGGAAGAAAGAGTATCAGCGATTGAGGATCAAATGAATGAAAGAAGCGAGAAGAGAAACCAAAGAAAAAAGAAGAAAAAGAAATGAACAAAGCCTGCAAGAAGTATGGGATTATGTAAAAAGACCAAATCTACGTCTGATTGGGGTGCCTGAAAGTGAGGGGGAAAATGGAACCAAGTTGGAAAACACTCTTCAGGATATCATCCAGGAGAACTTCCCCAACCTAGTAGGGCAGGCCAACATTCAAATCCAGGAAATACAGAGAACGCCACAAAGATACTCCTCGAGAAGAGCAACTCCAAGACACATAATTGCCAGATTCACCAAAGTGGAAATGAAGGAAAAAATCTTAAGGGCAGTCAGAGAGAAAGGTCGGGTTACCCACAAAGGGAAGCCCATCAGACTAACAGCAGATCTCTCGGCAGAAACTCTCCAAGCCAGAAGAGAGTGGGGGCCAATATTCAACATTCTTAAAGAAAAGAATTTTAAACCCAGAATTTCATATGCAGCCAAACTAAGTTTCATAAGTGAAGGAGAAATAAAATCCTTTACAGATAAGCAAATGCTTAGAGATTTTGTCACCACCAGGCCTGCCTTACAAGAGACCCTGAAGGAAGCACTAAACATGGAAAGGAACAACCGGTACCAGCCATTGCAAAAACATGCCAAAATGTAAAGACCATCGAGGCTAGGAAGAAACTGCATCAACTAACGAGCAAAATAACCAGTTAATATCATAATGGCAGGATCAAGTTCACACATAACAATCTTAACCTTCAATGTAAATGGACTAAATGCTCCAATTAAAAGACACAGACTGGCAAACTGGATAAAGAGTCAAGACCCATCAGTCTGCTGTATTCAGGAGACCCATCTCACACGCAGAGACATACATAGGCTCAAAATAAAGGGATGGAGGAAGATTTACCAAGCAAATGGAGAACAAAAAAAGCGGGGGTTGCAATCCTAGTCTCTGATAAAACAGACTTTAAACCATCAAAGATCAAAAGAGACAAAGAAGGCCATTACATAATGGTAAAGGGATCAAT